ATGAACCAGAGTTGAAAGCGTCAGAAAGTTCATTTAAGGTTTTACCCCCAAACGAGGAAAATTTTTTTGCACAAAATGAGCCTAGATGCGGATAAGGAATTGTTTCCATCAAAAATAGGTCAAGGTTATGTGCGTACATTAAACTGGAGCTGGCTAAATTGGCGGGGCTTAACTTTTCGCACATGCACTTTTTGCATCACTGGTGGGGCTTATCTGGAGAAGATCCAAATGTCGCGCGGCTAACCCTTTCCCGGACAATATTTGATACGCACCATCATGCCGGCCGAGCAATTGACCGCAGTTCCGTGGACTGCGAGGACTGGGAGAACATTGATCTGTGATCTTTAAGTGAGGACATTTGGCAGTTTGTCTGTACGTTGATTGGTCACTTTGGAAGTGACAGTACAGTTAGCCGAAGTAGGTTGCGTGACCAAAGCATGAGTAGCGCTATAACCTGTCTAACTGCGAGTTGATCACATTAATGAACGGCCACAAGGAAATCTCGGCTGTCCCTCATTGCCAAGTTGTGTTCCTTCTTCAGCCAATACGAGATAGACCCCCACAGTGTTGTGAGACGCCTCAAGCTCGCAACCCTTTCCAAGAACTATGTTGAAAATTCATGGCAACGCTTCACAACCGTATTCGGTCTACAGTTGTTCTGGTTATTCACTACAATCATCCGAAACGAGGTCTGGTTTCGAGCAAGTTGTGTTCCGACTACACTGCTTCCCACTAAACACGTGATCACGTGATGCAGACTCCGTGATGGCAGCAGGAGTGATACGATAGCCTGTCAAAGTGTGAATTAGCCACACTGCTCATCAGCTGATCATGGCCGAACGTTTAAGTGTTCCAACCACTAGCCGGACAGTTGCGGATTTTCGTGAGTTTTACTCGACTGGTGTTTCCCAATGAGGATGAAATAACTGTATGGTCCTTCTCAACTTTTCGGCATAGATTGGTTTCACGAAAGCTCAGTTGCAAGTGTAATTAATCTGTTCGCTTTATTTGACGATTTCATTGGGTCTTCTGCGACTTTATTGTGCTAGACGATTCAAACCGGGTTGCCATGAGTCGATCCGTTATGTCACAAATAAGTGTAGACAAGGGACCAATCCCGTGTAAAGCAAGAAGCAGCAAGGTGTATTACTGCATTCGTTGTACAAGCATTCAAACGGTTGCTGAGGTGCATCAATGTGGACCTAGCGGACTAGCGACAAATCTGACATGCATTCACTCCACGACAAACTTATTGTACCTCCAGCGTTTTTCAACATCGATCGATTTCCGGTGGATACAGTAGGATAATTTTTTAGCAGGTGATAAGTTCTGCTAGAAAACAAGATCCGATTTTACAAAATGCGGCTGTGATCAACTGGCGTAAAACATGTTTGGGAGTTTGCGACAAAATTTTGAGTCCACCTCATGAAGCCTTCGAGTCGACGGACTTTAGAGATTCTTTCTGGCGTTCTCGCCTTAGAACCCTGATAATCAGTTCGGTTCACTTGAAATGAATGTGCGGATAACATTCAAACTTACTCTTACCCATTCCTCTTTCAGAGGAGCCAGACTTCCCCAATGTTTTTCACTCGTTTCGCCGAGATCCGCTGGTCTCGAGCAGGTGACTTCAAGTTCCCCGGTTCAACACCTCCACGGGGATAGACTTTGTATAACGTGTTGGGTGTAAAACACTGGTTCGTTCTTTGAGATGTCCAGTCTTCTTGTCTATTCGTGGCAACAGGTGATGCTCTTAAGCTATACTGTCAGTTTTCTAATCGAACGATCAGACATGGTAAAATTGTGGGCATCAAATAGTTCAACTTCAGTAAAAAAATATATTGGTTTCCATTGCATGCAAAATAGAAAACAGTAATATTGAATGGTAAATGAGACTGGAGTATTTAGGAGTGCAACTGGCTGACACGGGTAGATGGGACACTTGGGCGGAGCGAAACTGAGTTCTACGCCACTCACATCATCCATATTCGCTGTCTATTCCGCCACGTGAAAATCTTGGATCAGATAACTTGCATTTTCGACCTCCGTCAGCTCGCGAACATAAGAGTACAAAGTTGGTAATGTGTTGAAATATTGGTAGCTCGAATGAATTTATCGGTTGTTGATCAGGTGGCTGTTGATCTGTCCGCCGAGCTTGGCAATTGGCTTGCAAAAGTTTCGTCACGAGGATTAGGTGGGTACCTGTTCCTTGCCTGCGTGCGTTTTTAAATAACATTCAAAGGCTATCTGTTATCGTCTGACGTGATTGGCTACTTGAAGTGTAACGAATTTAGTGAATCTATTGGTCAGTTCGTGATTCTTGTTGCGTTGTGGCCTGCGTTCCTTTGTGTTGATTGGTCATCCCCAGGCCTTTTATTTTTAGTAGCCTTGATTCGCATTGCGTTGTGGTCTGACGTTCTTGAGCTTGATTGGCTGCTTGTACCGCCCTATTTTACCATCGTGGTGGTTAGTGTCCATGCGTCTGCCGGTTAATTTGGTGTTTTGGTTGGGTGCCTCTTTCGATCCAAATGATGTATCCTTTTTGAATGCGGCTTTCCCGCTTCCTTTATGTGTTCCTCGTCTGGTTACTTTTGCAACTCAAAGCTCTGTGGTTCCGGCGTTCTCTCGCTCTCAGTGGTTGGTAAATGAGATCAATCTCGATATGTTTGTTGGTGGCTTCTTCGGCGGAGTACCATGCTTCCATAAATTCGCGTTCCTCTTTTGTTCTTGCTTGAGCCAGTATGCGAACGCTGCTCCAGTCGAACTCGTGTCCTTCTTGATCTTTGTGTACGGAGACAAGGGAGGATTGATCGTGCCTCTTAGTGACGAGCTTGTGTTAATGTATTCCGGTGGAGAGCTTCCTTCCTGTTTGACCTATATACCGTTTGTCGCAGTTCTTGCATTGGATCCTGTATATGACATTGTTCTTCCTCAATCGATCTAATTTCCCCAGTGGTCTTGATAGTGTCCTCCGCAGAGTATTTGCAGGCTTGTAAGCGACCACTGTATTGTGCTTGCCTTGCCGTCATTTCAGCGGTGTTATTGATGTACGGGAGTTTGACTCGTTTGTTTGCATCTTGTCCAGTTGCATCGATCGTATTTGGCCTCCTGATTGATCTCCGGATGAGATTCCTCGGATATCCATTTTTCTGAATCACTCTGTATAGGTGCTTTTCTTTGATCTTGGATTCTGTTGTGCTGCGGTATGTCTCGATCCACTTGAAGAGTGTCCGAAGGGGAATACAAAGTGTTTTACAAACGTCTGTGACTCTGAAACTGAGCTGCTGGCTTCACGGACCGGTGTAGTGCCGGTCAACATATTATCCACACACTGAACAAAAGTACAGCGAACCGATTTATGAGTGTACCGAGACGGAAGTCCGGAACCGAGACCTCTCAACCAGAATGAGTTGTGGGATAAACTTTAAAACCTTTCGCGTCCAATTTCCCCTTTTTGGTGTTTTCAAACCAGTTAGGTCTGTTAAATCTGGAACTGATCTCGGATGGAATTTACCCACCTCCCATGTCGCAGACTTAGTGACGGCGAACAGTGAAATTTCGCGACCGGGCCTGGTGGTCGAGTGCTCACAAGAGATAACCCAACAGCATAAGACCTGGGAAAGACAGCGTTCACGACGATAGCCATTTCGGTGAAACACAAATTTCCCTCTGATGGATACGTTTGGTTTTACACCTCATCTGTCGGGCATATCGCTACGATCTGATGCGAAATAGAACTTGTAGCTAGGTCGTAAGACATGATAATGCGTAACAACTCAGGTTGGAAACGGTGATCAAGGCGGATGTTGGGTGCACGCCACTATGTTTCAAGAACCTTAATTAAAAAGAACGCCAACCGGAATTTTGAGCTCTCAGAAGCCCTTCAGTGAAGCAGACTACCGCACGTATCCTCGATTCCGTGTGGAATTACCCTCCATTACGTACCAAGGTGTGCACTTTTGCGAGCAACGCATATTCCGCCAAGGAGGGCGAATTTTCAAAACGGTCACTATTAACTGAACATACTGGGAGCTATAAATGACGTCAAAAGCACTGGGGATGATGCTTGATTTTGGATGAATAAGAAAACCTAATTAGATCGTGTCTCAATACGCTAGGTATCAACCAATCAAAATGTGATGAAGTGAATTCGATTGACATGGAACGATCAGGAAGGATGTAAAGCATAGTACGCTGATAGGTTTTAGTCACTCGTGGTCCAAAATCCCAAAAGATATACGTGCGTCCTACGTGAAAGTACTTTGTAGAGTGAGAATCACGCGACAAGGACACTACACCAAACGGGAAAAATCAAGTTGTCTGCACCGTAGTTCATCCAAAACGGAGGAGCAGTACATCCTAGTTGACTGACATCACTTTTGTTCTCTCCCTTCTAGAGACTTCAGTGTTTTAGCTGGCATTCACGTTCTCGTCCTCGGTCATTTAGTGGAATTGGCTGTGCCTGTGTTGGTGCCGTCTGTCCGTGGGGAAATAGCATTGAAAACCAAGAAATGTACCGCAGTTCGGGAACCAGATGTGTCAATCAACCACAGAACAAGGTCTTGGGGAATCATACGTAAAATCATACTACTGAATACCATTTAAAACACCAATCAGGTGACTTCTTTTTCTGAGACGTGGACGCTTATTGCCGGCCTGCCACTTACCAGACGGGGCACCGGTCGGATTGAGCTATTCAAGAACCATGATCTCTGCCACAGCCATACACTTGAAATTCACACCTCCCTTAAATCGATTATCGGGCAGCTGGTGGGCTCGTTGTATGAATACTACAGCGGACCGGCTATTAATTCCGTCTAGTCATCTAAAGGTCTATAAAATGGATTGGTAGATTTCGAAAAGACAATATCAAGTACATCCAGTCTTTCCGTTCACAGTACGAATGCTTAACATCCGCTAAGACCTTCCTACTTTCAAATAGTTGGCTAATACATGGTCAGATTAACATTACACACACTCTCTCTCTCGTGAAACGTACTCACTTCCGTGTAGGATCCGTTTACAATTCATGGAAAGTCTGCCCATTCAGTTTCCGAAAGAGATAGATTCCCACATATCTTACTTCCCATTGGTTTACGCACAAAACAATACAACTGTCTATCGACAGTGGCAATAGTAGTGGTGGAATTTAGGCCCAACAAAAATCGATTAACTCTGTTCGTCCTCAGCAAGACAATAGGAAACATTTAGCAGTCAGTATTGGAGTGTTAATTGGCCGTTTTCTATGGTTTCCATGATACGTCAGAAGAGTTATTGTTTCCTCGTGTGTGGGAGTTGCAACTCTCGTGTAGGTTTGATTGGATTTCGATGTATCTGTGAAAAGGGTATTGTCAAATAAGAAACAAACTTTGTTTGACCAGTGAGAGCACATATGGATCTGATAGCACCCGAGTGATTAGCATGAGAGCGAAGCACAAACTGATCATTTGGTTTCAACTTTAGCTATATTGAAAAATCAGGTTACACGGAGAACGTCAGTTACTAAGAGTTTTCCAGCCGCAACGTTCATCGAATGTCCATCCTTTTTTGGAACACATTGGTACACAATACGTAGATAATTCAAAAACAGAGAGACAGACATAATGAAAATAAAAGCATAGACCAACGACACCTATATCACCCCTGCCGTCCCCCCAAATAGAGAGCATGCTACTATCGCCATCAGTAGCACAGTCCTTACCTCTACTGCGACAGCAAAATGCCCATGTTGCTGGTTCCTGATGAGTAGTCTCATTTGAAGGCTGTAGTGGCTGGCGCGAAAGGCCGTTCTTAACCCTGTTGTGGATCAGTCTCTTCTGGGAGATTTTTGTAGCTGTTAGATGCCAGCGAAAAAGATCATTGCTTACGCTTTGAGTGAGGAATTAGCCAGTTTGTTCGTATGCATGAAAATTGCCAGGCCTGGCCTTATGTCTTGATTGAATGAATTGAGTGGATGCAACGTCCCCTTGTTTAGGATGAACAGTGACATTGTCACCCTGTTCCAGTGATTTGTTTATCTACCAGACTCTCCAGGCTGGCTGTATGAACCGACTGTGGTCTCGCATCAGTGGGCACAAGGTAATCTCATACACGGGCGACTGTAATTCATGTCTTGGAAGCTGCCTTCACAACTCGGAACAGCGGTCGGCTGTATTTGTGAGCGGGGCGCGCCCTGAAAGTACTACTTCATTTGAACAAAGCACTTTCGTGGGATTCAGTCACCGTAACGTGTATCACGTGGAACGTTGAGACGTTTGTGGCTTTGGTACGTTGGTTCAGTTGCTGATAAATTCCCAGCGCTGGTGGGTTAGTCGAAACACAATGACATTCAGTAGACAACTCATTTGCACACCTATTGGTGTTGTTGATGTAGGGTACGACTTTACCCCCAGACCACCTCGTACCACGATTACTCGTAGTACGGGGTCTCGCTGCTCTTGGTCTGGCTGCTCCCCTTTGGCCTTCCTGGCATGGTTGCACCTTGTGGAACGAAGTTCCAGCCAGTGTAGCCCGCAGGATCATTGCAGCACTGAAGCCCGACCACCACGTCAAGGTGGCAGCTTTAGGTCGGGAACGACCAGCCTAGAGAACCAGGAGACTGTGTTCGTCAGACGTCTAAACATTGACCAAGCTGGTGTGAGAGACTCTGAGAGTGTCTAGTGTACACCCTCCCAGTATAGGTCAATGGGTTGTCGAGCTAAACAGACAGTCACACCAGGGTAAGGTCGTCTCTTCGTGACGGACATGTTGATGTAAGTTTATGATAATGATGAAAATTGACTTCAACAGTGAAAAATGGAATGAACTTCTCATTTCTGACGTTCCTGAGCCAACACGCACCGCAAACTCTGTCTGCAGCTTCGGTTAAGCCGGTACTGAAAATATAGAGATATTTCTTTATAAGTTCGGACGATATACGGAGCAGAATCTATCGGAAGCCACATCAAAAAGTAGCAAACTGGGGAGAGTACTAATGTGTTATAACAATATTCGAGTGTCTGGCTGACTGCGAGTTCTTGAAGTGCAATAACCGGCGAGTGAGTAATGAGGAAACGGTTTTGCAGTGCACTGCTTGTTGCAAAAGTGCCAGTGTACTGTTGTACGACAGTCCTCAGGATCGATATTTTTAAAGGAATGACCTTGAGTCGATGCTATGCTAAATTTGCTCCTCTCGTCATTTTAGTACGGAAAATCAACTTTCTTTTCGACCAAGTGTTTCAAATTATAAGAACGTACGGATGGTGATCCTCATAGGACATGAGCTTCGTTTCGCCGACTGTACAGGTTAACTGGGTGACGAATCAGGCGGGTGTTCACTTCGTTATGATTCCAAAGCATTACAACGGGCCATAATTATTGGGTCTGATCAACGATCAGTTATCACATCAGTGTTTCGGTCGATTTGAATGGGTGGATTGAACAGCAGGTCGCTCTCTTCCGCCATAGGTGAGACAATTTCGAGCAGTTAGTCATGTGACGGAACAGAACAGACATCAAAACAGGTGCTTGTAACAAACCATTAATACCCATGACGGAGGCTATTTTAGAAACGTTGACAGTCTACTCGCAAGAGGGTAGAGGGTAAACAATAAAAAACTGACTAGAGGTAACACACTACTTATACGTCTGCTAAGAACACTTCGATGAACCTCTACCAGTTTCACGCCTTTCGAGGCTCATCAGAAAGACGAAGTCCCCCAGTTTCTGTTCTACCTGATGAAATTAATCAATTTGCATAAAATTTGCTTTCGATCGGACACTCAACTGAAACCAGCCGAAACTCTCGTTTTTATTAGTCTTCTTGTGAGTAGTGTGTTGCGCCTAGACAATATATTGTGAATCTTGAATATGAAGCGGCTTTTTTGCACCATATTCATCACTTGACTAACGTCACTGACTGTACCCAAACTTTTTATTACACAGTGGAAAAATATGGATGAACGATCCCCATTTTCAATGCTGTTGCACGCCTGTACCTGGGACCCAAGGCACTGTGATCAACTGGTCTTCTGAGTCATCATGAGCGAGTACTTCTGAGTCGTCTAGGCGAATTTGAGTAGATGACATGAAAGCGTACGAGGACGAGCGTACTGACATCGTTTGCATTCCGCATTCACGATAGAAACGTCTTTGTCGGTTATCGTGTGTTGTTTTCTCACATTTACTCAAGTGCTCAAGGTGCAAACTGGAACGTACACGGTTCCAACCCAACTCAAGCATTTCGACTGTTCGTGTCTACGCTTGGGCAACTTGGCAGTATCTAAGCCATCATGCTCCCTTCGGATGGCACGGCATTTAGGCATTGAAAGCTGAACGATTGTTTTTATTTATAATCTCAAACTATTCAGCAAGCCAACTACAACAAAATTTTCCGGAGTCAAAAGATGATGCAACAACAATGCTGTTGGCACCAATCGTTTGCAGGAAGAGCTGTCGACCTTCTGGTAAGGACGTTGCCGAGCCGGTCACATGGCGGCAAAAGGGATTTCATGATGTTACCCTAGCTTATTCTAGCGCCAGTGACCTTCACTGTGGAGGACAATAGGCTCTATGACAACCAATCCCGTTCATATTTGACCGCGGCCCTTATCGGTTGGCCCTCTTGAGAACTAAACCTTTGTGAGCGAACCATGGTCTACCGTTGAAAGGAAGAAGGCTTTCGCTGCGGAGTTACTCATTAGAAAACGCCAACTGAACAGTTACAGATCATTCGACAGGGAAGCAAAACTCTCATTTGCATCTTATTTGCAAAAACTGGACATTAATCTTCTCCTGAACGCGTCTTCTTGAACTTTCCTGGATATTCATTGACTCCAATCATTCATCGCTCAAATCCAAGCAAATGTTACAAAGGGACTCCACAAATTCCGCAACAGACCTCCCTTTTTAAGAAGGCCTTCGCTGCGGAGTTACTTATTGGAAAATGCCAACTGAATAGTTCCAGACTATTGGACAAAGGAGAAACCCTCTCATATGCATCTTGTTTACAAGAATTGAATGTTCAGCTTCTCCTTGAACGCGTCTTTCTGAACTTTCCTGGATATTCATTACCTGTTTCTCAAATGCAAGCAAATGCAACTCCAGAAATTCTGTGATAGAGCTCACTTTTCAAGAGACGCGAAGCGGATTTACGAGAAAACATGCTACTCGCATGCCTCCATCAGTAGTATCACCGTTACACCGTCACTATGTTACCTCAACGAGTCGTGAGTGCAACGCTCCGGTAATACTATTAGGTAATCCCCGGTTCTCCCCCCATCACATTATTGCATCGAAAGGCCCATACAGGTTTACAGCCAAGATGTAGACCAGTAACAGGATATCGGAAATTTCGGTTGGGCTAATCATTCCTATTGGAGGTAAGAGTGCCTGTGAGACTGCTCTAAGTGACTTCAGGTACTTATTGTTCCACTCCAATTCGAGTAGGAATTGTCCCTCTCTTCAGCTGGTGTTCAAAGGACTGGCGTGAAAAACAATCCCGGTTTATTTGCGAACCACACTCATTTACACACTGATCGGTTTTTAACGGGGAACTCAACTGAATCGCGCTGAGTCTCATGTTCCTCAGCTTACTGTGTAACTGGGTGTATTTCGCCCACACTTTGGATTTAGGTAGAACATGGGGTTGACGAGAACTCGGCGACTGTCCCAAGAAGGGCGAAACCGGTCGAAGGGTTTTCAGCAATCTGATGAGCGGTGTGTCCCGTCAAAACCAGTCCACCTGAATGAGGAAATCGAGTTATGCAGTCACTAAAGAAACCCTCTTGGAGGGGAATTCAGGTACCAGGAGAGTAATTTTGTCATCAAGTGCCAAGAGTCATCTGAAGCCGCAAAGTAAACAGCTACTCATGCGTGCAAACAGAAGTAACGCAATTCGCTGACGTTCCCCATGCGTCAAAGCCACCGGGTATGAAACCCAGTTGAAACAAAGCTGTCCGGGTAGTCGAACATGGCAGCGTCACCACTTTTTGTCCTGTTGTAGAAAAACTGATTTACTGACTCAAGCACTTAATGAGCCCCACTACGGGGATTCACCGTCGAACAACACTTTCCTGGCCGTTGTAGTGTTATTGTAAGAGCCGAATGGTCCATTGAGAAAGTCCTTCCGAGGCTACATCTTGGAGAAAAAGGCGACGAAAGCACAGACCAATTGTTTTCTGGAGGGAGCTTCAGCTTAAAAAAGACTCGCTGCTCCCGAAAAAAGTTTCTAGGCACGTAAAAATATAGTAAACAGGGTTGTAACACAAGTGAAAGCGGATCCATGGATCTTTTTATGGTGCCTCTCCTTGAGCTTCAAAACCTTTACGAGTGGAGTAAAACTTCCTACGCCAAAATGTTGCATTTTGTTGCTTATGTGCTCAAACCAAAAACCGTCCTAATCTACCGTCATATTTTTGCAGCTCACCAAATTTCATTGTCCGCTGAAGCAATCACACCTCTGGCGGAATAAGTTCCCAGTATCGCTGAGACCCTGGAAGGCCCAAATGGGGCTTATAGGTTTGGACTGGTACTGTCAATTCAATTGCCCGATTGATTTAGTCCATCAGGGACACGTCATAACTTTCGAAAAATCAATTCCACTGTGCGGATACTGAGAGCCATCTTTTCCGGATAACCCCCGCCACCCAAAAAGATTAGAAAAAAGAGGATACGAAATTTGCAATTTTTGTTTTTATTGAGGAGGGTTAAATTGGGACACGTCATTAATAGTTTGCATGAAAAGGTCCGTTTTTCGGTGCCTTTGCGTCCAAACGAACTCACACAAGTAGCTGTCCACTGAAGATTGATGTGTACCGCATTGGTGTTTATTCTGCATCTTGTAGACGTGTCAAAGAGAGTCGATGGTTCATGTGTGAGCTCCAGTCATTGGATCCACAAAG